TGGCCAGCCACGACTCTTACGACTAGTAATAAGCCTAGTTATTTGGTCTTTTATACTGTTTAGTATGTGAAGTGAATCTTGGCTGAAAAATCTGTAAAAAGCACTGACCTGAGGGGCATTGAGAAGGCACTGCCACTTCTGATTTGTGACGTGAGCACTGGTATAGCATAGTTTGTAGTATGTTTCTGTTACCTGCTAGAAACTATGCGATTAAAGCTACTATGTTTGGCAGCACCTTATGGCTCAACTTCCTCATACAGCGAAACGTAAACGTTTCGACGCTGCGTTCTACACATGCCCTACGCTGAAAAGCGTTAGCGTGTACAGACCAATACCGAGCTTTGGGTTTCGTCTAGCTGGAATGATCTATTGTAATATGGCCTTGTCTCTTAAAATTTGTTTTTATTTTCGCAGCTTTGTTACCCTATTGGTTAGCAAAAGTGCCGTACTTGTCACCGATCATATCCGGTAAACCCGAATCTTTTTTCACCCCTGTCCGTGTCTCTGGCTTCCCTGACGCGCAGTAGCTAACGCGGACGCGTTAACAACTGGGGCATGTTTCGGGACATTACAACATTAATTTTCTCTTGTCTTTCCATTAACAAAATCCTGCATTGGCCCATTCCACCAGACGCCTTTCTTTCGGGCCACCAGTGCATTTATTCCCTTGAGGCACCAAATCCAAGTGAGTATTCGAAATACGATTGAAAATGGTCCAAAACTTCCTTTTCAAAGAGCATCAAACTACAGGGCACCACAATTTCCTTGCCTTACATTCTGACGAAATTCTGGTCAGGCTATCTTCGGTGAAATGGCATCAAGAATCTTAATTCTGGGGCTTCAAAACATGTATTTTTGAAAGACACTCAATATCAATTGGAACACCACAGACTGCCCAAACATTCATTTCAAAGTGGTGCAGAATTCCAGGGGCACTTGATAGAATCCTCAGAACTTTATTTTCATGAGAAAAATAATTCAGCACGACCCCCGCCCTCCCCTCCTACCACCTCGACTCCGAGGGTTCCATAGGTCCCAAGGGTCTTTTTTGTTCCCTTGGGGCCAAAGATCAAGGGCCCGGTTTAAGGGTCCGAAGGGCAGGCCAGAGGTCGTGTAGAGGGATCACAGCCCGAGGGCCAAACCCTCAAGTGTCAGAGTACCTCCTAGCAACGATCGGAGGCCCCGTGCGACTGTCCCTATTTGAGTCAGCTGAGTGAGACCGACAATACCAAACGGTTCGTTCCGTGCCATTCTGGGGCCAAGGGGCCATTTCCTAAACAGGGGTAAAGCCAGGGCCACTAAATGTCAATCAGACGGCTTCCTACATTGATCGGGACGCCTGAAGCAGTGAAAGACCTCCAGTACTGGTCAGTGACCACAGCCCTTAACAGGGGACCATGTGTCGACAGTGAGCCCCACATCGGTGTGGAGCACATTTACTGAATAGGAACGAGGATGAAACTCCGTATGTCAGAAGGCCTATTGTGCTGGTATGGTCCCTCTTAACAATGAAAGTATTCGTGAGAAATGACAAGAACTGGTTTACATTTACAGTGGGATATTGGAGTGGCAGAGGACTGTGCCAGTCAGAGGCACCAGCACCGGACGAGGGATCCCCCGCACCGTTTCAACCAGTTGCCGATCAGACGAATTAGTGTCTCGATACTAATTATTGGACTCCCTGTGCTGCTAAAAAGTATGTTTTAATCAGGGGCCCCCTGCGCCAGTCCGTTGCTCGATGTCACAGTCAGGGGGCCAGTCGCATCCGGTTGGATTTGACCGGTCGTGATGCATCCGTCTGAGGATCTCGGTACGGACCATGGGGGCCATCACCAGAATAGCAGCCGCTGGGGACCGCAGGCTGGGATGGAATGCCGCTCAGCTCCTGGCCAGAGCTTTTTACCAGCGCAATTAAGTTGTTGTTTTTTTGGAGTTTACGGGCGCGCCGACTGCGGTGGTCATTTGGCGCCCATAACGAGTGCGATTAAGTTGGTTAACCAGTTGATACTCTGAACGTCATTAGCAGTTGCAACATTGCGAGCAAGGTGGATTACGCTATTGCGCCTTGCGTTCGTGGTACTCTATTTGGTAATCCGTTCCGATTACTAATCTAGAAATTGCATTGGTAAATTACCGGCTCGGGTCACCTTTAAACGCAAAACAATTAATTTCATAAAGTGTTGGAAAGTACCGATTTCCAATGTTTGATCTTTTCAACCCGTCTGTTGACCGCTGTCCGGCGTTGCTGCAATGTTTCGTATCCTACAATGGTGTAACCACATCATTTTTTCCCGACGTTTCAAAGAGCACCTGACGGAGGGGGCACAAAGAAATCGCATGCAGCCCGACCACAATACTCTCCTCACGCGCTCAGCACTCACACAAAACACTGGAATTATATCATCTACACACGGAAAAAGAAACCTCAACAATCTGGACGCATTGCGCATTCATGAACGTACACCACCTCTAAGCTGGCAAATAAATAGATCTATCGAATTATCTCTTTGAAGCATAATCACAAATAACTTATTCAGAGAAGGAACAAGACACTGATGAATGGCGCGGCTATCGGGTCATTGGCATACAAAATTGTGATTTACTGTCCCGATTGTGTTGTTCAGTGTGTGGTGCTAATGATGTGTTCAGCAAGGCTAGAGAACTGTCTGTTATTGCCAAGTCAAAACGACAGTGATTGTTGTTTAGTGAGAAGTTCATTATTGTTTGCATGCTCTTGTTTTATGCTCTGATTTTAGGTGTTTAAGCGGACCGATGTGAAATGAAGAGCCGGATGTATAGGAGCGCCAGTTACTGGTCATATACCGTGCAAGTCCTGTGAGCTTCGTCTGTCTGTCGACAAAAAATATACGCATACATACACACGTACACATGCACACACCCACACACCCACACCCACGCCCACACACGCACACCCACACACACAACACAACGCCCCCCCCCCCCCGACACACACACCCACGCCCACACCCACATCCACCCACACCCATATATATATATATATATATATATATATATATATATATATATATATATATACACATATAAATCGAGAGAAAGCACCGGCCAAAACTGACAAGACACCATATCGGAGTGATCAGAAGCAGTAAACGCCACGGCAACAGCATCTACACACATCTACACCACCAAAATACTAGAAAATTGGAGAAAACCTCTTGCTTTGTGAGCGTCTTGGAGCTTAGGGTTCCCTACCCTAAAATCGTCGTGTTTAGGCGATTGTATTTTAAAGTTCTTATGCATGCGATTTGTATACGGCAACCTACCTTGTTGTGCGCAGCTCTGGAAACTAAGGTGCGGTACGTATTCAAATGCATAGAGCTTGTTCGTTTTCTCCAGATCATGGTGAATCCTGTCATTTTGGGGCTAAGTATTTTGGAGAAAACATGGCAACATGCACTCAACTGGCTGCCAATTACCGGCTAAAGCATGCTTTTAAATCAAGTTTGTGCTTGCAAGCACAAACTTGATTCCTGGCTTGCATGCGGCCAACCGATTAGCTGATGAGATCAACTGTCACAAATTCGATGACCAACGGAAATAATATGCGTAACGTCGGCGGCGGATAAAATTCTGTTAGATAATTTCACGTACAAATTCATCGACGAGATTGCCATCGGCGCAGATTTCTGCATTAGTCAGTAAGACGTAAAGCCGCAATCAAAACTATCACGATTTAGGTTCCAGTCAACGGCAAAGGTCCTCCTATTGTGGGGAAAACCCGAGACCAACAGGGACGGCACCTGAGCGATCGAAGCTGCCGCAGGCCAACAAAGAGGCTCCCGCGAGCAGCGTGGGATCCGTAGAGAGAGCGAGAAAAACCTAACACCAATATGGTGGAGCCCCTGAACGATAGGGAGCACCCCCGCGGGCTAGCATATTGGGTCCGGCCAGATCAAAGGATATTCTGAGCAAAGGAGAATAACTCAAGGTGCATGTGTGTTCATTAATTAATGCCCCAGTGTGATCAAGAGATTCCCTAGGTAGCTTAACAGAGAGGGCTCTGAAAAGTGCAGGGTCCTCAGCAAATATGCTCAAAGGGAAGAGCCATAGATCAATGAAGAGGGCCCCTGAGCATCGGGTGCCTCGGTGCGTTACGTTATATGATATGGGCTCCAACAACAGCACAGGGTCCTCCAAGGAAGTGGAAAGAACCCGATAGATAGCTCATATATATATATATATATATATATATATATATATATATATATATATATATATATATATATATACATACATATATGAGCTATCTATCTATCTATCTATCTATATATATATATATATACATACATATATGAGCTATCTATCTATATATATATATATATATATATATATATATATATATATATTTGCATATATATGCGTATATACCATATGAAGAGCCCCTGAGCAACCTAGTGCACCCCGGCATATGGGACCCCGGCAGCAGCAGCGAGACGAGAGCCCGCCTGCCCTGCGGGTGCAGCGGTCCCGACCGAGCCCACGCCGGCCGCGATATCTCCGGCCGCGGCGCCCCCGGCGCGCTTACGCTCAGTCCGCCGGCGAGCCCCGGGGCGCGGCCGCACGCAGGCCGGACACGGCCGCCAGGCGCCAAGGTAATTCATAGTAACCATGTACCGCTACATCTTTGCCGTGATTATCAGTGGAATGCCAGGTTGATTATGTCATCTGTTGACAAAAGAGGAAAGTGACAGCGGGAGTCGACAGAAACATGTTACGGTAGAGTCAGCTAGTGGCAGAAATCAAATTAACCCGAGTGCCGTGAACGCTGGATGCTATGAACGCCGGATGTTACAGCTTTGGATGTTGCGCGCTTGGACGTCGTAAACGCCTCCAATGGGCACGGAAATGTGCGCATGTTGGATGTTAAGAGCGCCGGATGTTGTGACCTTGGATGATATGACCACTGGACGCTACAACCTTGGACGTTTTGATGTATCCCCGACCCGGCTCCTGTTCCGCAGCGCTGCTGGTCTTCTACGTGCCGTCCGAGTCGGGGGAGAAAGTGACGCTGGGCATCTCTGCCGTGCTGTCTATGACCGTCTTCCTGATGACTATCCGCGAGAGTCTACCGCCCACTGAGAAGACGCCGCTCATCAGTGAGTGGAGTTATGCAGGCTGGATGACCCAGCGGGATGGGTCCAGGGCCGGTGCCGGCGCGGACTGAGCATCTCATCGGCGCAGTAATCGGAATTGGCCAAAATCCAATTAAGCAATCTGACAACGACCTTGAAGCCCGTGAGTCTTGATTCTTCATATCGTCAACCTCAGCCAGGTCGCTGAAGCTTGCTTCTCGAACGCATGAAGAGAAATGGTTGCTATGCATTCGATTGTCACTCTGAGGGTGCGAAAGCATGTGGGCAGCTCTTTGCAAAGCATCCCAAATTTTCAACTCACAACGCCAGCCTGAGGGTCCAGAGATAAATGTGTTTCGCGAAGTACGATGGGTGATGGAGTGTGCTTTTTACTGTGTCCATATCTCGTTGCGTTTGACGTGGGTTCAGATCTTGGGTTATTTAGTGAGATACTGCATGTCGCTTGATTTGATGGGGGTGCTAAATCTTATTTGAATCACAGCCGCTCTCTGCGCGAACTCCTGACTGCTCGGCCAAGGCCTGATGTTGGTTGAAAGGCTGGCCTGGCGTTTTCGAGAGCTCTTTCTACTGTCTCAGCCGCAGCACATTGCTACCGGAAATGGCAGCGTTAGAAGAAATGCATTTCAAATGGACGCTTGTAAATCCACTCATGAGTGCATTGGCTCAGAGCAGCTCCTCCATGCGTAAATGTACTACGCAGTGGATATGTACAGATTGCCGCTCTTGTGTAAAGCGACTCAAATCTGAGTGAATTTTCGCCTTGGTGCACTGTTGTGCACATCCACTTGTGAGTAGATCTATATCAATGTAGTAGGCCCACACAAACATACAAGCGACCTCTATGCATCAGGAGGTCCTTTTCTGGAACAGAAGGTCCCTGGAAAATCCTGCCCCTTAACTCAAGATTCGTGGCGCCACGCCTGATGTCAATTGCATCGTGATGTGATGTGCACAGGATACAGAGCGTATTTAACACAGCGACATGGCGAGCTGATCCATGAATTACCGAAACCAGCGAAAAATTTGATTCGAGCAATCGAACAGGCGTGCAAATAGCTAAAATGTGCATTTGTCCAAGCATATCACAAAACTTATATTATTTCCATTACTTAACTTGCATATTTCCGTGCATTATGGAGTCCATAAAGTGCGTTTTAAATTTTGGTGCTGGCTAACAAGGCGTCTGCTTGCGAACACTAGAGGGCTACAAACACACAATGGTCAACAACTGTTAAAAGGAGTGTTCCACACTTGAATGGAGTTTTGTACTGAAATAGCAATTGGGAAAATCATTCGGTTTAGGTCACAACCCTGCCGTTCTGAAAAGCTAAACCACTCTAGTTTCGTAGCTACACACCCCCAGATACGTGCAGATAATTTAGCGGATGCTATTTCAAGGTCATCCTGGTATCTTTGACGTGGTCGTGGACCATGTGGACGTGGCTGCAGTTAGATGTGGGTTTTTTGGCTGTCAGCGAACTTGTTTCCGAGGATGCCGACATAATTAGGAATCCAATAAAGCGGCACCCTCTTTCCAACTCAGTATGATGCGCGTATTCCACATCTGTATGCGGTTTTGAGCTGAGACATCTTGAAGAGCATTCGGTGCAGCTCACATCCCTACCCTTCTAAAGACACAAACCCCTCTAGTTTCTGAGCTACACACCCGCGAATATGTGCAGACTATTTCGTGCATACTATTCCAAGGTCACCCAGGCATCCATGAAGTCATAACAGCGTCATTCAATTTCTGTCACTCCATTGGTCATGCGGTGATCAAGGCCAAGATAAATATAATTAACGAGTTGTTCACATCTGGCGTTCGTAAGCGCGATTTCCAGATATACGTCAATTCGCTCTCAATCCTTGTTTGCAAGGTACGGTGACGCAATCAAACAGCAACGCGTTGAAGAGCATGTTCAATAAACAGAGAAATCATGCTGTCTGGTGCAGTCTTTTCCACTAACGTATACCAGTAGTTATATGTCGGCTTATTTCATCATATGTGACGCTTGCTTAATATCTCCAAATGTGGAACATTCCCTTGAATTGAAATTAGCTGGCATAAACTGATGATTCCAAACGGACAAACTCCATTTTAAAACACAACTTCAAGTATAAAAAAGAACCAGCGGTAAGTTTGCGTATGCTTGTTAATTGAAATTGCCTGACAAAAAGTGATGACTTCAGGAGGAACGAATTCTAGTTTGGCACAGAAATATAAGTTTTAAAAGAATCAGCTAAGGTTACGACTTACTATTTACCTAAGCACAGCTACACATATGTGAGCAGCTGATGATAGCTGATTGCATTTACAACAAATAGCATTAGTAGGTACACCGGCATGTGCTACCTTTCATGAGTTAGGCAGGTGCAGATTAGAAACAGCTGGGGGAAAATTCAAGCCTGGTTGTTGAAGTTGACAGCGATCTTGACCTATGCCTCAGACTGCATATGACATTGGTGGTATGCAAGGGTGTAGTTGCCTGTTCAGTTGGGGGGGGGGGGGGAGATTAAAGCCCGCCAATTTTGGGTTTAGCCTTCAGCCCGCTCCCTCAACTTTGGGATGAAATTTGGCAGAATCAGGGGAAAACCTGTTTGCTGGCATATTTTTGGGACGGGCTCTGCCATTTTTCCCTGTTGGGCATCGCCCATAATGTTGCGAAAGTACGCCCCTGCTGTTCAGAAAATGGCATGGTACAATGGCTGGTGCGCAAACAATGGCAAATTTGGATAAGATCTGGTTGGTGCAAATGTGGAGCATAGCTTCCAATTTGGGTAAGCGTAGCAAAATTTGAGGGCAAAAATTACTGGATTGGATCCGTGACTTGATTCACACATTATCAAATAGGTACATGTCTTCAACCCTCGTGGCTGGCACACCACATTCAACCCCCAAAAACGCACAGGATTCGAAAGGGTTGCTCAGGCGCGCGTCGACGTTGTGTTTAAATACGGAGACCAATGTGCATGCGCAAAAGTGTTTTCATAAATCTGACTCGATATACACAGGAGTCCGATTTAAAAAAAAATCGATTCAGATCTGACGTGATCTACACAGTGAACCATTTTCAGTAAATCGATTCATGAGCTGATGTACACGCTTCCATTTAAAGTTAATGCCCTCCAGGCACAGCGGATGACACAAACAGCCCGAAGCGCAAGGTTTTCATCTGAGTTCCCCGGTGAAACGCAAGTGTGATGATAGTGGTGGTGGTGATTGGCGTCATTGGGCTCGCGCCGAATGCTGTGGACATATTGCTGGTGTGCCAGAGGTGTGCTGATTAGTTACGCATCGAGGAGTACCCATCATGTCTGCAGCTGTTCTCACCAGCGATACCGCTTGCGGTGGGTGGAGCTGCGCGTGAAATATGTATGAGGCAATCTGCATGCTATGAACCCAGAGCTGGCCGTAAATTCCGTATCAGCCAGCGCTCAACAAATATGCTAATGTGCCGAGGACAACGTGCCAAACAAGACGGTTTACTTGATGAGTGGGTGCTATTTATCTAGGCCCGTTCACCAGCCGACCGTGCCGCGCCGCCAGGCCTGTACTACGGCGTCACCATCTGTCTGGTGTCGTTCGCCTCCGGCCTGTCGGTGCTCACCCTCAACATCTTCCACCGGGGCACGCGCGGCGTGGAGGTGCCCCGCCTCGTGCGCACCGTCGTGCTCGGCTTCCTCTCCCGCCTGGTGTTCATCACGTTCGAGAAGTCGCCACTGCACGCCCGGCACCGCAGGGACGCCGCCAACGTGAGTGGCAGGTGCCGTCGGCGGACTCCAAACGACGACGGCTTGCGTGCTTGCTACGTTCGCTCACCAGAAGGGCAAGTAGGAAGGGTACGTTCGCTTACAGTATCGCTACTTCGGCTCAAGATGCAAGTGAGCTATTCATAGAGGGTCGCGGCAGGTGACCGAGTTACTACTTACCGGAGGCATCTTATAGTTCATTATTGAGTCGTGATGGATATGATGCAACGAGGGATAATGTTTATAATGAAAGATGCAACATGTCAAGGATTATTGACACTAAGAGTCACTTAAACCAATAGAAAAGTGCGCCGAAATGCGCTTTTCATGCCACTTTTCAGGCGCTGAAAATAATTATCTTGAAGGGCGTCTCAAATGCCAAGCAAATTTCGAATGATTGCAGCAACATACAGCATTTGCACTTTTCTCGCGGTGCCAGGAGCGGATCCAGGGGGGGGGGGGCACCGGGTCATGCCCCTCCCCTTAAGCCGCGAAGGAACCCATAGGTTCCAAAGGGGCCCATAGTCTGCCGAACAGGTGCAGTTTTATCAAACACAAAACGCAACAAATTGGACATCTTTGGGTTACCAGACGACCAAAAACAGTTGTAAGCAAAAGTGAAGAACCTACGAGAAGAAAAACTTCAACGATTAAAAAGCCGTTAGTTGGGAATTTTGAGCCTCATTACGCTGCCCAGGAGCCCTGCGCTGTTTCCTGTGGACCTATATGCCCGCTTGCGGGGTCGTTCCGATCGTTAAGGAGTCTTCCATGTTGCCCTTGGTTTCTTTGCATGTTCCCTGAGCTGTTGCTGGAACCTTCCTGCTGGCGTGCTGGGGCGCCCTTTTTCAATCTTGGGCCTTCCATGGATTATTTCCTTTCGTTAGAAAGGCTCTGTGGGCTATAGCCGGGCCCCCATAGGTTAGCTTGCCGAGTCCTCTCAGTTGCCCAGCGGCCATTTATGTTGGTCTCGGTTAACCCACCCACACACGGAATATGACCATGGACCCTCTATAGGGGCAAACCCTCTTGTCAGGAGCCAATCTGTTGATCTGTTCGGGCACACTGTTGTATGGGGCCCTCCAAATTGGGTATTGGGTATGTTCTATTTGAACGTAGGGCCCTACAAAGTTGTCGGGTTCCATCTGTTAATTGGCTCGGGCACACTGGATTGTTGAGGGACCCTGCATTCTGATGATTTTAATGTAGGGCTCTACGCCCTCGTCGGTAGCCATCTGTTGGCCTGTTCGGGCCCACTCGATCTTTCGGGGACCCTCCACACTGGGTCTTGGGTACTTCTTATTTTAATTGGGGACCCTACGCTCTTGTCGGTGACCTGTCTGATAACCTGCTCGGGGACATTCAGTTGTTCCGGGTCCTCTTCATTGGATCTTGGGCACGTCCTTTTTCAATGGGGGGGGGGGGCCTCACGCTCTTGTTGGGAGCCCTCTGCTCGTGTACTCAGCCACACTGGATTGTTCGGGCGACTCTACACGTTGGGTCTAGGTGTCTGAATTTAGGGCCCTACGCTCCTATCGGGGCCATATGATAGCCTGCTCGGGTTACTCCATTTTTCGGGAGCCTTCCACACTGGATTTTGGGTACTTTTTATTTGAATGGAGGGTCTTACGCTCTTATAGAAGTCACTTTTGATAAGCCGCTCGGGCACATTCGATCGTTGGGGCATATGGCTTGGGCACATTCGATGGTCGGGGGACCTGTACATTGGGTTTGGGGTGCCTCCTTTTTTAATGGAGGGACCCTACGCTCTTGACGGGCGCCCTATCTGTTCACCTGTTTTGGCGCACTCAATCGTTGGGGCCCTCTACATCGCGCCATGGGTGTTTCATATTTGAACGGAAGTGCTACACACTCTTGTCGGAATTCTATCTGTTTGCCTGCTCGGGCACACTCGATTGTTCGGGGCCCTCCACATTGTGCTTTGGATGCCTGTGTAGATGGAAGACCCTGCGCAATTTGTCGGGCCCCTATCGGTCGGCGTCCTCGGCCACACTGGATTCTTCGTAAGCCTTGTATGTCTGGTCTTGGTGTTTGAATTTATAGCCCTACACTCCTATCGAGAGCCATCTGATAATTTACTCGGGTACACTCCATCTTTCGGGGGTCCTCCGCAATGGGCGCTGGGTACATCTTTTTTAATAGAGGGCCCTACGCTCTCGTCGGGCCCCCTCCTGATAAGCTACTCGGACACATTCCATCGTTCGGGGGCCATTTACATTGGGCCTTGGGTGCTCTCTACTTGATTGGAGGACCCTACGCTCTTGGCGGGGGCCCTTTTGTAAACCCCCTCAGGCGCACTCGATCGTTTGGGGCTCATCCATGTCGTGCCGTATTTCTGAATGGGGGGCCCGCGCTCTTGTCGGGGGCCTCGTCTGTTAACTTGCTCGGGTACACTTGATCATTCCGGTGGCCTCCATGTTGTGCCTTGGGTACTCCTTATTTGATTGAATGGCCCTATGTTCCTGGCAAATCCGATCTATAAAGCTGCTCGGGCCGTTGACAGATACAGAGGGGGAGGGGGAGGTACAAGACCATGCCGAGAGGACCTATAGGCTCCAAAGGGGCCTGTAACTGGCCCAGCGGACGCTGTTTTTTAACGGAGCAAAAACACGACAACATTAGACGTCTCTAGGCCTACAGACGACCAAGAGTGATTGCTGGCAAAGGCAAAAGTTCATGAGCAGACAAAGTTAATTTTTCGTGGGGTGAGAAGATGGCGTGAAGAAAATTTTGTGGCTCATTGCGCTGTCCAGAGGCATTACGTTGTTGTCCGGGCTCTATGTGTCCACTTGCCGGGTCAATCTGATTGCTAAGGAGCCTTCCGCGTTGCCCTTGATCTCTTTGCATTTTTCTGCGGGGCCCAACGCTGCCGTTGGGACGCGATCTGCTTCCGTGCCTGGGCATTTTTGATCGATCCAGGTTTTCCTCCGCGGATTCTTCCCATTCGCCCGAAAGGCTTTATACGCCTTCTCGGGGTCCCATATGCCACGTGCGCTCGGTTGTTCAGGGTGCCCTTCATGTTAGACTCTTGTTCTTTTCACTTGCTCGGAGGGCCCTAATGTTGGGCCTTATGGACCTTATGTTGTTGCTGGGGCTCATATAAGGTAAGGCGCCGAGACACTCGATGCTCAGGGGCCTTCTGCTTTGATCGAGACTCTTTCCCTTTAATCTCATTTGCGGAGGACTCTTTACTCCCCTCGAGGCTCTTTCTGTTGACCTGCTCGGCCACTTTTGATCGCACGGAGACATTATTTCATGGCCCTAGGAATTACCCTTTGCTCAGTGTCCCGTGTTCTGCCCGGACCTTATGTGTCAGCCTGTCAGGGCACGACTGATCGTTGACCGGCCACCACGTTGGTCTTGGATCATTTTCACTTGCTCTGAGGACCTTATACTTGTTGACAGGAGCCTGCTTGCTGGCCTCCCGTGGCACCCGTGATTGCTCCTGTTCAGCCCTTTCGGGCTTGGTGTCTTAGCCTTAAAGCAGCAGTCGGACAAGCGCCGGCGGATTTTACGCCCAATTGCCTAACGTAATTTTACGTACCTCCGACGCCGTATGTGTTATTTCCCTTGGCTATGGAGTGTGTGATACTTATCATACTTGTGCATCATGTTCTTAATATATTTTGAATTCTATGATATTTTGTGCTTTCTATAACAAAGGAAAAATTATGCATTAGTAATCATCCATCACCTGATTATATCGCCCAGCCGACTAGCCGTGAATGAGCTAGACATCAAGTCCGTGCTTAGTTTTGATAGTTTTAGCAGCTGACTTTGATTTATTGTGCCTTTTTCTGAATTAATTAGCCACAAAATCACAGGACTTAACACAATCTGCACAAAATAAATAAGCTCCATGTGTGTGCATAAGTAGCACGCCTAGCTTTATAGAACTGAGGGCATTAGGGTAGGTTCTGACATAAAGATAGGTAGTGTTTATCATCAATATATATATATATATATATATATATATATCCGCTATAAGCTGTGACCTTAATATCTAAAAGCGGGAACGCAAGGATATTTTTTGGACGTTTCCCCAAACTCTAGGGTGGCCCGCAATGTTCCGTGTACCCCATCCCTCTCCGCTTGACGAAATCCTAGAACCGCTCTTGCGAGATGCTGCGTATTACCATGAAGCACCACATCCGAAAGTACATCCACTTTGTATCCACCACCGATTGAGTCCATTTAAGTCCAAAACTGCAGAATTTGTCGGCGTATTGAGCCAACTCCTCGCCAAAGAAAACACGGTATAAATCCGAGGAATCTGTCACAAATTGTCAACATTTTTATCTTGAAACGACTTTTGTCTGGGTTCAGTCCCTTTGAACAAGTATCTAAAACCCTCACCGAGCAAGGTGACGAAGCGGCTGTTTGCGAGAGTGTGGCACGCAGAAGGCAACCATGAGTAAAGGCCGGAAGAACGTGTTACCCCTTACCTGTCTAGTCCAGGGCAGGCAAGCAGAGTCTTGACGCGGGGCGGGGAGCACAAAGTTGATACACTGCCCCCTGATAGTGAAAGCCCCTGCCCCCCCCCCCTGAAAAAATCGCCGGATATAGCCCACTTGTCAACGAAGTCACGTTTTTATTGCTATTATTCCATTTTCACCTTCGGTAACTGGAACAAAAGCCAGAAGCTACCGTGAGATCACTCCGTCTGAACTTTATGGTCAATAAACTGAAGGCATTATGCCTTAAACAACCGCGTGAAATAAATCGCCAGCCCGTGGTTAACAGCCGTCAGCCCGTGGTTAACATTGAGCAGTGGCCAACTGGCGGAGAAAATGACGCAGCTGAAAAAGACATCTTTGAACGTTATAGGAGTTATATCGTACTTCCAAAACGTATTCCTGGCGTGTATTTCATCAGTGCGATTTCTAGATTGATGATGAGGACCGATCGACCTCCACAGCACCACGCGAAGTGGTGCTAGAATCTGCTGGTGGAACTGGAAGAGTTGAGGTAGAGTTTGTATTTTT